TCCTCTCCCTCCTCCTACCCTGCAACCTCCCATAGGCCCCACTGTGTGATGTTCCCCTCTATGTGTCCACGTATTCTCATCATTTAGCTCCCACTTATGAGAACATGTGGTATTTTTATTTCTGTTCCTGTGTAGTTTGCTAAGGATAATGGCCTTTATTTAGCTCCATCCATGTCCTATAAAGGACATTATCTCCTTCCTTTTGTGGCTGCATAGTATTCCATGGTGTATATGTACCACATTTTCTTTATCCAGTCTATCATTGATGGACATTGAGGTTGACTCCATGTCTTTGCTATTGTGAAAATGCTGCAATAAACATTCACCTACATGTGTCTTTATAATAGAACAATTTATATTCCCTTGGGTATATACCCAGTAATGGGATTGTTGGGTTGAGTGGTATTTCTGTTTTTAGTTCTTTGAGGAATTGCCGCACTGTCTTCCACAATGGCTGAACTAATTTATACTCCCACCAACAGTGTAAAAGCATTCCTTTTTCTCCACTACTTCACCAGCATCTGTTATTTTTGGACTTTTTAATAATAGCCATTCTGACTGATGTGAGATGGTATCTCGTTGTGGTTTTGATTTGCAGATCTCTAATGATCAGTGATGTTGAGCATTCTCTCATATGATTGTTGGCTGCATGTATGTCTTCTTTGGAGAAGTGTCTGTTCATGTCCTTTGCCCACTTTTTGATGGGATATTTTTTCTTGTAAATTTGTTTAAGTTCCTCATAAATGCTGGATTTAAACTTTATTGGATCTTGTTGAGCTTCGTTAGCATCCAGATTCTGAGTCCTATATCTGTCATTTCATACATTTCAGTCTGGTTAGGTTCATGCTAGGGAGTTAGTGTCATCTTTCCAAGGTAACAAAACACCTCGGACTTTTTGAATTGCTGGAGTTATTGTGTTGATTCCTTCCCATGTGAAGGAGCTGGCACTTCTTTTTCTTTTTGAATTTGTTGCCATTTGGATGAGGTTTTTAATTATATATATGTATATCACACTAACTATATATATAGGTCACACTAACACTATACATATACACACACATATATACATATATATGTATATATACGTGTGTGTGTGTGTGTGTGTGTGTGTGTGTATATATAGAGAGAGATAATGAGTTATTTCAGAGGGCCAAGGCTCTGTACAGGTTCCTAGGTTGCAGAGAGTTTCCTGCAGTGGGTTTCACAGGCAATGAGTGTTGGTGAAATGCATTTTTGTTTGGTGGTGTACTTCAGGCTGCAGTCAAGTAGATGGTACTTAAGAATAGGGCTGAAAAACAGTCTCTTAGTCAGCTGTACACTTTTGTTTCTCAGTGTGTTTGCAACAGTGCTCTGAGAAGCAGAGATGGGGGTCAATATATGGGTCCCTCTACAAGTCCATTCCCATGTTTGGGTAACATCCCCTTCAATTACTGGTGCTTTGTCCACTTTTTCTTTGTCATTTTTCTGTGTGTACTTTAACATCTTTCATTAATATTTTGTAATTTTCAGTGCATGAGTCTTTGATTAAGTTTATTCCTAAGTATTTTATTCTTTTTATGCTACTATAAATGAGATTGTTTTCTTAATTTCCTTTCATGATAGTTTATTGTGTATAGAAACACCATTGATATTTGTGTGTTGATTTTTGTGTTCTGCATCTTTTACTGAATTTATTAGTTCTAATCATTTTTTTGTTGAGTCTTAAGTGTCTTCTGTGTACACCATGATGTAGATTTTATGGATCATATCGATTTTGTAGATTATTGCTGCAAACAGATAATTTTACCTTTTACTTTCTGATTTTGATGCCTTTTATTTCTTTTTCTTATCTACTTGCTCTGTCTAGGGCTTCTAACACTGTACTGAATAGAAGTAGCGAGAGTGGACATTCATGCCTTGTCCTGGATCTTAGAGAAAAGATTGATCATGATGTTAGCTGTGGGATTTTCATATATGCCCTCTATTATGGGATTTTTTTTTTTGGATATGACACCAAAAGCACAGGCAATAAAAGCAAAAATAGACAAACGGGATTGTATCAAACTAAAAAACTTCTGTGCAGCAAAGGAGACAACAGAGTGAAGAGGCAACCTACACAGAAGGGGAGAAAATACTTGCAAACGACCGGGCGCCACCGGGGGCGGTGGCTCACGTCTGTAATCCCGGCACTTTGGGAGGCCGAGGCAGGCGGATCACGAGGTCAGGAGATCGAGACCATTCTGGCGAACATGGTGAAATCCCTCTCCACTAAAAATACAAAAAATTAGCCGGGTGTGGTGGCGGGGCCTGTGGTCCCAGCTACTCGGGAGGCTGAGGCAGGAGAATGGCGTGAACCTGGGAGGCGGAGCTTACAGTGAGCCGAGATTGTGCCACTGCACTCCAGTCTGGGCGACAGAGTGAGACTCCATCTCAAAAAAAAAAAAATGTAACTATGCGAAGTGATGGATATGGTAATAAATTGACTGTGTTGATTACTTCACAGTATATACATACAATATCATGTTGTGCACCTTAAGTATACTCAATTTTAAAAAAAGGTAGAATATAAATATATAATTTATCATCTTTACCATTTTAAAATGTACAGCTCAGTGGCAATAAATACTTTTTTTACACTCAATTTTTATTTGTTGGTTGTACCTCACTAAAGCTGAAAAACATATTTGAATAAATGTTAAAGAAATATAAGTATACACAAACAAGAAAATAAGTATGTAGAAATTGCAATCTTTCCTGAAAATAAGCCAAAAGAATAAAACTCTTATTTAAATTCTTTGAAAAAAATTTAGCAGATGGAACATTTTCTTACATTTCTACAAATGTACTCAAAAATTTTATTTTAAATCAATTTTAATGATTTATCTCCCATAAATTTCTTACATAGAAAGATTAATTTGTCCCAAGTCACATCTTGTAATATGTTTTGAGAGAATTTTCTGGTTTTGGCAAAAGGGGATCTGCAAATGTGACTGTGGGGCAGCCTCAGGAAAACATAGGAGGGGGAATTTCTTTTTAAAAGAGACCTCTGGCCACAGACAGTAAGTATTTTTAGTAAAAAATGTGGTTAGGCACTGATGGAATTTTTTTTCTTTTTTTTTCGAGGCGGAGTCTTGCTCTGTTGCCCAGGCTGGAGTGCAGTGGCACAATCTTGGCTCCCTGCAACCTCTGCCTCCCAGGTTCAAGTGATTCTCTTGCCTCAGGCTCCCGAACAGCTGAGACTACAGGCACGTGCCACCATGCCCAGCTAATTTTTTGTATTTTTAGTAGAGACGGGGTTTCACCCTGTTAGCCAGGATGGTCTCAATCTCCTGATCTCCCAATCTGCCTGCTTTGGCCTCTCAAAATGCTGGGATTACAGGCATGAGCCATGGCACCTAGCCAACTCACTGATGGAATTTTGTAAAGCAGGAAGGAAATAATTGTACCATATAATGTTACAAAAATTTTTCTTTGGAATTTAACTTCTGGATAATTTTAATTTAGAAGGAATCTCATTAAATATTTTGTTAATGATTATTGGGTTGCTATCAGACATTATTTCTACTTTGCTTAGTAATTTGCAGTCATCTGTGAGTTCTGTAACCTCAAAATTAAAAACTAGGGTGTGGTTATCTTTACTTGTACAATAGTGCAATTGTTCTGTGGAATAACAAAATTGCTTTATTCTCCTATTATGCCTAGCTTTATTTTACTTTGCAAATGATACGAAAATTCTCTCTCTCTCTTTTTTTTTTGAAACAGAGTCTCCCTCTCTTGCCCAGGCTGTAGTACAATGTCACAATCTCAGCTCCCTGCAACCTCCACCTTCCAGGCTCAAGCAATTCTCCTGCTTCAGCCTCTCCAGTAGCTGGAATTATAGGCACACACCAAGGTACCCAGCTAATTTTTGTATTTTTAGTAGGGACAGGGTTTCGCCATGTTGGTCATGCTGGTCTCAAATTCACCTGTCTTAGCCTTCCAAAGTGCTGGGATTATAGGCGTGGGTCACTGTGCCTGGCCTGATTTAAAAATTCTAATGGACCAGGCACGGTCCCAGCACTTTGGGAGGCCGAGGCAGACAGATCACGAGGTCAGGAGATCAAGACCATCTTGGTTAACATGATGAAACCCTGTGTCTATTAAAAATAGAAAAATTAGCTGGGCATGGTGGCACTTGCCTGTAATCCCAGATGCTAGGGAGGCTGAGGCAGGAGAATAGTTTGAACCAGCGAGTTGGAGGTTGCAATGAGCTGAGATCGTGCCACTGCACTGCAGCCTGGGCAACACAGCAAGACAGCAAGACTCCGTCTCAGGAAAAAACAAAACAAAACAAAACAAAAATTCCAATGAATACAGTTACTTGTAGTATTGATGTCTGGCATAGGTCATCCCAATCCTTTTACTATGTGTTATGGTTTTGGTAGGTTAGTATGTATTCTCATGAATATTTATCTTTGTTTACTGTTGATAATTTTATTATGAAACCAATTTTGGATTTACATAGCGATTTATAGATAGATTTACGTAGCAACTCATAGCTTTGAATGTATTTGTAGAAAAGAAAGAGTATTGAAAATAAATGTAGACATTCTACTCAAGAAACAAGGAAACTTTTTATCTTTTTTTAACCTTAGAATTTAGAAATGATAATAAGATGAAACTAGGTTTGGACCTTTTTCAATAATTCTGACCACCGTTCTGCAAATTCACTCTATAAGAAAAGTAGAGGTTTGGGGCTGAGTTTTGTTTTATTTTTTTCCCAAAGACTTCTATCTCTGATATCTTAGGGTCTGGGAATTGTTTTTGGTCATAGGGCTCTGAATAAATGTCAGTTGAACAAATGTATAAAAACCAAACAAAGAAATGTTATTTCAATTGCCTTCAGGGTGTCACAACAAATACCAATGAACAAGAAACAAAAATAAAGACTCAATACAGTAATTAATTCTCCAGTGAACACTTCAGTCCTCTAAGGCTACTTCCCTGTGTCCACCAAAACTGTTTTCTAAGCAAACGCAAGCAAGGGAACGCCAATGCTCTCAGGCCATGAACTAATGAGAAGCTTCATGCTTGTTCTCAGTCTTTCTTCATACCCAGGGCGAAACTGGCCCACAGACTTCCAGACATGCTCTCTTCATCTAGGTAGGGATGGGGATCCAAGCCCCCTGTGTATTTCTTCCAGACCCACCTGTAAAACATGGGTGAAATCTACCTGCCCTTTAGCTCACCACTTCCAGGTCAAGCCCACTCATGGACCACTTTAACAGTGACGGTTGGCTTGACCGGGGAAACTGAGCAAAAGGGAGCTTTCTTTAGATTATCTGATAATCTGCATTGCCATTGCTGCTCCTTTTTCAGCAGCACGGAGAGTTGGATTATGGAGGGTTGCATGCGGATTATGCAGCTACATCCAGGATGCCGAGTGTCTTCTGATCATGATCAAGAGCAGAGTGAAGAGACACAGGCAGAGGAGAGGAGCACAGAAAGGTAGAAGTGGGAGACTGGTGGATAGGCACCACCAAGTGACTACCATCACTTCTCACAGATTAGATTATTGACAACCCAAGTATGGATTTGATTTCTCCAAGGTGAAAAGCTACTCAATTTTCTAGCCAGACCACAGATTTGCTTTAAGCCAGGACCCGTTTTCCAGCAGTTAGTGCAATTAGGGAGGTTGGGAGGATGTAGACAAGAGCAGGGAGAAAATCTGGAGCCAGACAGTGGGAGAGACAGAGGGGAAATGAACAACCCCGTGGGAGGCTGTGGCAAAGGGAGGCAGTGGGGCTTCTCTGACAGGGAAGTCGCCAGAGGGAGAGGTTTTTCTGTCTGTGCAGTAAGGGAAGTCAGATGAGAGTACAAGAGGGCGTGGAGAGGGGTACTGATATCTGAATTCTGAGGGCAGGTGTCCTGCCAAGGAATCCTGGCTTTAATAGAGCTTCAATGCTGCTCCTGTTCCTCCTCTTCGAGGGACTCTGCTGTCCCGGGGAAAATACAGCAGGTAAGAAGAGTGCAGGTGGAAAGTTACCTATGGTAGGGCACCAGAGGACTGAGAAGTTCTGGGGAGGTCCTGGGGGAAGGGAGCAGTACTCCTCTAGGACGCCCTTGGAGTATGACTTTCAGGCTAATTCCAGGCAGAGAGTTCTTGCCCTCAGTCTCAGTTTTTGTCTCTGATTTTGGGGAAAGGAAGCTGGCCCCAGAGGAAAAGCATACGTGCAAATTGCCTAACTATCTCTCATCTCTAAGTTCCTTTTTTTCCTTTGGCATCACTTTTCCCATTCCTTTGCATTCTCTCTACTTGTCATTTCCCTCTCTCTCAGCTCCCCAGGCTCTACAATCCTACCGTCCAGCAGCAGAGGACCCCCTGTCCTTCCGCATGCTCCAAATTTCCTCTTTTGCCAACCACAGCTGGGCACACAGTGAGGGCTCAGGATGGCTGGGTGACCTGCAGACTCATGGCTGGGACACTGTCACGGGCACCATCCGCTTTCTGAAGCCCTGGTCCCATGGAAACTTCAGCAAGCAGGAGCTGAAAAACTTACAGTCACTGTTCCAGTTATACTTCAATGGTTTTGTCCGGATAGTGCAAGCTTCTGCTGGTCAATTTCAGCTTGAATGTAAGTTCGTCGCTCTAAGCTGATAATTTGCCTGGGAACATCAACTATTTTCCAAAGTGGAGATGGTATATAGACTCTGACCATCATTTAACCTTACTAACTTTGTTCCCCACTCTCTGGCTCCCACTCCCTCCTCTGCTTCACCCTTCACCACCACCCTCACTCCACCATATACACAAAAGGGCCTGCGTGTACATATCTCAACATGAATATACCTTCGTGTCTGGCTCTTTGGAATGACTGTCTCCTCTAGATCTTCTGCCCCTCATTCCTGCCCTCAGACTCAGCCTTTCTCACCCCGCTTTCTACCCTTCTTTATCTTTTGCCTGAGTGTTGACCTGGACTGGGCTGTACCAACCACTTTCACGTGAATTATTTGTGACCAATCTCCTATCTTCCTGATAGACTTCCCATCTACCACTTTCCCATTAGTTATTTCAAAGAATCTTTATTATCTTCACAGTTTCTTCCCACAAATTTTCTTCCCCTTTGCCACTAAACTCCAGTCTCCATATGATTTCCCAGCAAATTTTTCTTCCCTTGAATCTCTTTACTCTCTAAATTGTTTGTTTTTCTTCCTTGTCATTCTTTCCATATTGATCTCTCGTCCTTGTCTACTCTCAGACCCCTTCGAGATCCAGATATTAGCTGGCTGTAGAATGAATGCCCCACAAATCTTCTTAAATATGGCATATCAAGGATCAGATTTCCTGAGTTTCCAAGGAATTTCCTGGGAGCCATCTCCAGGAGCAGGGATCCGGGCCCAGAACGTCTGTAAAGTGCTCAATCGCTACCTGGATATTAAGGAAATACTGCAAAGCCTTCTTGGTCACACCTGTCCTCGATTTCTTGCGGGGCTCATGGAAGCAGGGGAGTCAGAACTGAAACGAAAAGGTGAGCCCAACTCTCTCTCTCCCCTCTTGTTCCTAGTACTGTAACTCTCCTATTTGAATTTGCCTCTCATCATCATTTTGAAAGACAAAGTGAGAGACTAGAGAATGAGACATGTGGGTTTAGGACTGTTTCTTAGAAAAGAGAAAGAAGTGATTATTAAATCACTCTTAGTATTACTACTTAGGCACATAAGTGCCTGAGCTCTGGCCTGGGGTGCCCCTCAAAATTCCATTTTTTTTCTTATCTTCTTCTGTCTAGTGAAGCCAGAAGCCTGGCTGTCCCGTGGCCCCAGTCCTGGCCCTGGCCGTCTGCAGCTTGTGTGCCATGTCTCAGGATTCTACCCAAAGCCCGTGTGGGTGATGTGGATGCGGGGTGAACAGGAGCAGCGGGGCACTCAGCGAGGGGACATCCTGCCTAATGCTGACGAGACATGGTATCTCCGAGCAACCCTGGATGTGGCGGCTGGCGAGGCAGCTGGCCTGTCCTGTCGGGTGAAACACAGCAGTATAGAGGGCCATGATCTAATCATCCATTGGGGTGAGAAAGAGCTGAGGCTCTGCTGGGAAATAATGAAAATAGCCCTGGGGCTTTTGAGGGTAGGGGCTGAGGAAATGGGTAGGAATGCTAGGCACAGGAAGGGTAAAACTGGGACAATGAAAATAAAGGATAGAGTATGACAGTAGTTAAATTTTAAGAAAATGGAAGTAGGGAATTAGACATACTAACAAAAAAAGGAGGAGGAACTAGTGATTTAGTGGGAGAGCGCTGGGAGGAGATCACAGACAAAGGATCAGGAGGAATTGAAATGAGGGCTCTGGAAAACACAGATGAAAACTCTAGGAAGATACCACCCTTGCAAAATGGGAAATCTCAGCTTGGTGGAATAGAGTATTTTAGGGATGATATTCTTATTCTATCCCCAACCAGGTGGATATTCCATCTTTCTCATCCTGATCTGTTTAACTGTGATAGTTAACCTGGTCATATTGGTTGTAGTTGACTCACGGTTAAAAAAACAGAGGTGAGCCTTTTCTTGTTCTTTGTTTCTTCAACCTGTAATCAACTCATTCTTTTTTTTCCCCTATCTTCTTTTTTTCTCTCTGCTTTTCCCCTTTATTTCCTTTCTTTGAGATTAATATCCTCCTCTTTTCCCACAGTTCAAATAAGAACGTTCTTTCTCCCCGGGCACCCAGCCCTGTGTTTCCCATGGGAGCCAACACCCAGGACACCAGTAATTCAAGACATCACTTCTGCTTGGCACAAGTATCGTGGATCAAAAACAGATTCTTGAAGTGGAAGACACGCCTAAACCAACTCTCGTGACATTTGCTTTACCTTCTACATAAAGTCCTTGTCTGCATCTTCTGAAACACCATCCAGGTCCCATAAGGGAAGCATGCTTTAATTTAAACAGTTTCTACTAGCAAAGATACTGATCCCTTTAGGCATACTTTTTTCCTCATCTTCCAGAGATTTTTTTTTTTTTCCTGCTTTGGCTACATACCCACCATTGTTGATTTTTCAAACTATAATCCATATACTTCTTTTTCATGGATTCCCATGATCACCCAATTAAGAGCTCTTCTGTACTCCCCAAATTGAACTGATCTTCACAAGCACATTCATTTCTTCCTACTCTGAACAGTGGTTAATTAGGTTTTTGCTTCTTCTTTTTTTTTTTTTTTAATCTCAGTTGCTTGAAAGTAGGATGTAGGTATTTGTGTCTGTGTTCACGACCAAAAATCTTATCTGAATTCAGGACCAGTTTCATAAGCATGTGATCTGTGCAGACACATGGAATCATATGCTCTGCAGGAACCCATGCTAGATTTAATGCTCTGCTATTGTCATCTTGGAATCCTTAGTCATTTTCAAACAAGAGATATTGTATTTTCATTTTTCACTGACACCACAAATTATATAGCTGATTCAGTTTGAATGTAATATTCCTCAATAAATGCAGACGGAATAAATTTGTTGTCAGCTCAAGTGATGTTGTTTTACTCCATTCCCTCTCTGATATCTCTGCATCATTTGACTGTGCTCTTGCTAAAACTCTTCCTATCTCCCTTTGTCTCTCACCAGAGGTGAAGGAGGCAGACGAGTGCCTCAATCTGAGTGATTGGGATGTTAATGAATCTTCAGGGATATTTAGGAAAATAATAACATAAGGGCTATCTCCTTTCAAAGTTAGGACAGGTTTGAACTGGCATTCCTACTTCCCTGAGCTGTGTTTATCTATGTGTGTCTTTGTGGGTGTGCATATTCATGGGAGAAATTCATATTTTGAGCAATTAGAAAGAGGACATAGGGTTTGAGCCAGAGCTAAGGTAATGAAGCAAAAGAGTGATTGGATGCCAGTTAAGCTACATGTTTGTTTTTGTATGTTAGTCTGGCTTATTATTATTTACAGTTTGTTTTTCTTTAGTTTTTATATGGATTCTTACATTTATATAATTTACTTCAATTGAGATACATTTGGTTGAGCCTACTGGAGAACAGGAATTTGGTAGAGGTGCAGTATTTATATACATGTCCAGTCAAGCCCTCCCTTAGATAGAATAATTGAACAATGTGTGCAGATTTCTTAGTGGAACTTATAAACTTCATGGTGGCCATTTTCAAGTAATCAGCAAGGGTCCCATGATCACACATCCAGACTGCACTCTTACTCATGAACAAGGTATCGAGGCCAGACTTTTCACTGTTGAGAGTCCATCACCTTCCATATGGCACATCCAATCAGTCTATCTACAGTCAGGCCACTAGAGTCCAGAGAGGAAGGTAGAATTTTAAAGGGTTGTTTGGAGCAACAAATGATGAAAGGTCAGGGTTGCATCACGTGGTATAACTCTACAGCGGAGAGTTATAGTAATTCTCGAACTCCTGATCTGCCTCATGCTACCTTCTCTGGTCCCCTGTCCAATATTTTCCCCACTGTATATTATGCTTCCGTGACACTAGATTTTTTTCTGTCTCTTAGTTATGTCAAACTTTCAGTTCAAGTGTCATACTCTGATTAGCCTAAGCAGCACACTCCATCTCAGTCATATACTAGTCCAATTTATTTTGAATACTTAATTTAGTTGAAATTACCTTTTTATGTCTTCATGGTCTTTTTCATCTGAAATGTGAGCACTATAATAACCTAGATTTTATCCATCTTGATCACATTTGTATCTCAGTGCCTAGATTATAGCCTGACATATAGTGGGTGATTTTAAAAAGTTTTGTTGAGTGAAAAAACGGGATTAAACTTTGACTTGCCAGAAGAGATTTTACCAGTGTCTATCTGATAGGCCATAGATTTTCAGGTACTGATATGTTTCCAAAGTGCTGGTGTCACTAAAAAAACCAGGTGAATCATAGATACTGTGCAAAGATGGTAAAATGGTCACTCTTTGAAGGCAAGAGCCAAGTTCTCTCTTTCCTTCAAGTCATTACCTTTACAAGTCTGCCAACAATCTAAGATACAGATAAAGCTTAGTAAGAAGGGAGGAGACCCCAGATCAGAATTCTATGTACTATGAGTAGCAACCCCAGTTAATCACAAGTGCCACTTTGTTTTTTTTCTTCTGTTGTATTTTGGTGATCCCCATGGAACCGCTTAGGGACAGATGACTGTTGTCTACAGTGATTTTTAAGAAGCTCCAGGTTCTTGAACAAAGTACCTTAATGCGTTCAAAGTCAATTTTTCACAAGGCCCTTTAGCTGAGAAGTGGGCATATATTTGGGTGAGGCACAAGTTATACCTCCTGGAGACCATAGATCTGGGCTGCCTGAACATATACATCCTCCTTCCCCATAAATTGACATAGAAGGGTCAAAAAGAGAGCCTGAGGACAAATAATTTTGTTATAAAAAGTATCAGCTCAATAGGACTTGAGGGAGTTTAAATATCAGTCCATAATAGTATCAAAGAAGCTGTGGGTCTTCCATATGGTGTGGTAAACCTTTGGGCTAGATAATTTCATTATAACTCCTGGATGATGGAGTAAGTACTTAAGAGCAAAACATGTTGCTAAATTGCCCCGAGACAGAGATGTTACCCAGTACTATTAACCGCTTCATTCTGGCTGAAACTCTGGGACGTGAGACTTACTCTAGAAGACCAGGGTAGTTTTTTTTTCAGAAGCTAAGGATACCAATTTCCATTCCCACCAAGTATAGAACAAAGAAGGTAATCTGCTTTGCTGACAGTACACATCTGGAGCTTTCTGCATTCTGTTGTAAACACAAATACAGTAGGAATGAGAGTAGGTAGTTTTGGAAAAAGAGATGGAGGGGGTATTCTTGATGGTTGCTAAATTTCTCTACAAATAGCATTTATTGTTTGAGGGAGGATGCAGTGGGACTGGTGTAATCAGAATATGCTGGGGCCAAAGCCCAGAACAGTGCAGTATCCACATGCCCTGGATAAACCATGACCTAACCTGTCTGCTGTCTTCTATCTAATGAATGAGGTAAGCTGAGGATATGGAAGACTTGATAAGTGGAACAACATAAACTGAAACAGGGGTCCAGGCCTCCAAGTGTACCACCTGCAAATGAAGAAAGATGTTTATGCAGCACCTGCTCTGGAGCTAGTGTTCAGAGGAGGAGGAGGTATCATTAAAGGCACATGACTTCTTTTTCAGGTTACGCATAGAAGGTACCTATAGAGTTTTAAAACTTTGACTTTACTCTTAAGGAATTAGAATTAATTCATAATCTTTCCTCATTAACCATTTTCTCTTTCTCACTTCCTTATGTAAATGGTTCCATTATCTTACTAGTTTCTCAAGACTAAACTTTCTTCTGCTTGCTTCATTATTCTTCCTGAATAGCAAGTTATCAAAGCTTTCTTTATAAGTTGTCTTATGTTCCATTCCTTCTTCCTTGATCCTGACCCATGTGTGAACCCCACTGCCAAAAATGTAATGCAAATTACTAATCCCATTATCAATAATGCAATAATGATCACATATTGAGCATGAGCTCTTATTATAGCAAATAAGAGAAGTATCTGTTTTATGGTTAAAGCTGATTGAATAATAAAAGTCATTTGAATGGGGCCTGCTGTAGGCCAGGCACTTTTCTCCATACTTTATAAATATTAACTCATGTAATCTTCTTATCAATCCTGAGCATATAATATTATTCCCATTTTATATATGAGGAGACAAAAGTCACATAATTAGTAAGTATGTAGGCAATTTTGCTCCAAAATTCCTGCTTTAACTATGACACTAAACATTCACTAAATAACTATTGGAAGCTTGTTATGTGATAAATGCTGTTATGGTAATGAAAAGCATTAAAGACACAAAAATAAATTACCCTGTCCTCACAGAATTTACATTGGTAGTGGAGGGGCTGGAAAGACAGACAATAAGTAAACAAAAATATTATATTATATTAAGGTGATGACGTATTAAGATTAATAACTGAATCAGGGGAAAGGAATCGGAGAGAAATTATTTATTATTTCAAAATTTGTGAACAGAATGGGCCACTCTGAGAATGTGGCCCTTGGGAAGGGAACTAAAGCAAGAACAAACAACAAGTCATGCAGTATCTGGGGTAACAACATTTCAGTCAAAGGAACTACAGAGAAAAGTGGCATTGTAATGGCTGTTTTCTAAAACCTGTGAGAATTCCATTGTAGATGAATTGGAGTAAGTGATAGGGAACATAGGAAATGAGGCCAGTGACTTAGAGTCAGATCACAAAGGGGCCTTATAGGCTATTGTACAGTGATTAAAAGCCATTGCAGGGTTTTAAATAAATGTATAACGGTTGTTAGGTAAAAGGAGATGAGTTCCGAGAAGCAGAGAGTAGAATAGTGGTTGTCAGGGCCTAAGGGGAGGGGTCAATGGAGAGATTGTGGTCAATGGGCACAAAGTTTCAGTACGTAACATAAATAAGTTCTGGAGATCTACTATATAGCACAGTGCCTATGACTAATAATGTTGTATTGCATTCTTAACATTTGCTAAGAGAGAACTTGTGTTTCATGTTCTTACAACATACACAAAACATTACTATTACTAATAAAGGGGGTGTGAAGAGACTTATGGTTTGATAGTGGTGATTATTATAGGTGTATACTTACCTCTATACTCATTGCATTATATACATTAAACATTAACTGCTTTTTACATGTCAACTCTACCTTAATACAGTGGTTAGCAAAAGGAGATGAGTTCTTAAACACAAGTGTCACCTGGGTTTGCCATCTGTGACTACAAAATGGGACGTGATTATATCTACACTCAAATTATGGTGATCCCAATCTGCTTATCTTCACTAGTACAAACTTATCCCCACTAAAAGTGTGCCTCACCTGTGCTCACAACCCAGTCTTTCAGCATCAGTTATCAAGTAACACCTGCTTTTTTTAATTCCTCTCCAGTTCATGCTTTCCTTTGCCAACTGTCTGCTGTTCTCAGGGTTGCTTGGAACAGCTTCATAACTGCTGGTACCCATGGCAAAAAGATGATTTTTATTCCAAGGGTAGCTACCACCTATTTCTCCAAAGCTTCTGCCCAGTCCTCGGATGGCTTTTTGTAGGGGTGCTCCATACAAAGGCATGGGCTATGGGCTATGCTTCCATTCTTTGACTCATTTGATACCCAGTTCCAGAAGTTGCTTGGCTTGTGTTATTTTCTTAAAGCCTCTATGTACAATAACATCAGATTCTGACTCTCACCCAGAATTTGGTTGATTGGCCAAATTAGCTAGGTAAGTCATAGCAGTAAATGAAATTACACGGGTTGCAAAGGATTAACATAAACTCAATTCGTTAAAATACCTAAAATACATTCTCAATTTCTGTTACTCTTAATGTAAGTGCCTTGTTTACCACTACGTATCATATGTATGTGCCCCAGTGCTCTGATTATACATTTAAAGAAAAGAGAAATTCCACCAAGGGAGGTAGTTGGTTCCATTTCTTGTGTTAAGAAAAAATTTAGATTACCAACATTCTTCAGATAAACAACAACCAT